CACACTGACACACTCACACTGTCACAATGACACACACACTGACACTCACACTGCCTGACACTCACACTGTCACACTGACACACTCACTGCCTGACACTCACACTGACACTCACACTGTCACACTGACACACTCACACTGTCACACTGACACACTCACTGCCTGACACTCACACTGTCACACTGACACACTCACTGCCTGACACTCACACTGACACTCACACTGCCTGACACTCACACTGTCACACTGACACACTCACACTGCCTGACGCACAGTACACTGACACCCTGACACACTCACTCTGACGCACTGACGCACTGACACGCTGACACTCACTGCCGAGCACTCACACTCACACACACTGGCCCTGCACATCGAGGCTGCCCCCAGATGTCTGAGCCTACACCCCCCTTCACAGGCTTCTACCCCTCCTCTCCCCTCAACCAATCCGTCGCCTGTTTTCGACGTCATCGCGCCGCTCTTCCTGTTTCCCGACGGCGAGGCGGTGGAGCCCACAACACTCTGCGGAGCCTGAGCTGCACTGGCAAACCCCTTAATCCATCTGCAGGTAGGGAGCGCCTTTCTCGTTCGCCCCGGGTGGGTGTTCGCGGAGACACGCGTGGCTGGTGTCGGGGAGTCGGGCCGGGGACGGCGGCGAGCCCAGTTGGTCTGCGCCGGGAGATGTGGCCCCCAGCCGCTCACGACCCGCCTGTGGTATCGCGACATGACGTTCGGGGTGCGTGGAGTGAAGGCTGGCGAGAGTGGGCTGGTGGCGGAAGAGGCAGGGGTCCCGGGTCGCGCTGAGGGGGGGGGTCGGTCGGAGCCGATACTGGCTGTGCATCTCTGCGTGTGAGAATTAGAGGCATCGGGGGGCGTGTGATCGCGAGTCGGAGCTCTGCAGGCGCTAGGGCCGGTCCTGCCGGTGTCGCTGGATGTCGGGACATCAGTGGTTCAGCATGCACAGTAGTTTCAGCGCGCTGCTGGCGCTGCACAGGGTGGTATCGTTGCGGGGTGGTCTGGCACGGCTTGGCCCAGGACGGTATTGTACCGGCTCGGGCTGTGCAGAGCGGGCTGCAGGCGAGCACACTTCTCCTGTCCCGCAGAGCTGTCTCTGGGGACCGCAGGGGAAGGACGCCGGTGCGTCTCCCGGGCGTGTTCGTCCTTGTCCGCCCCGCACACGAGTCAGGCTGTCAGCCTCTCTTAATGACGACAACAACACCAGGAATAGTAATAACATGTTGTTTATCAAGTCCCTTTCCAAGCCCACTGACGCCGTGCATAGCGATGAAGAGAGACAGAAAAACACGGTAAAAAGTCAGAGGAAAAATTAAGCCAAAACATCCAGGAGTCGAAGCAGGAGGGTCAGTCTGCAGCAGTGGGGACAGTGAGCGCAGCACAGAGCCGTTCAGGGCTGCCGAGGGACCAGATTATTCTGAGGCTGGAAGCCAGTTAGGAGACAGGCAGTGCTGCAGAGATGACCGCAGAGGCGGGCAGTGCGGGGTTTCAGTGTGTCACCTCTTGTTCTTCTGGCCATCGAACTGGACAGATCCGCCCAGACGGCCTTCCGCCACGCTCCGGACACGCCGCACAGCACTCTGGGTACCCCGCAGGGCCACCGCCACAGTCGTGCCTCCTTGATTCGGGTCATGTCCGGTCCGGAGCAGACGGGCTGTGGGGTATGGTCCTGTACACTGGGAGCTCCCTGGACCCGTCCTGCTGCCCTGCTGGTTCTCTTGGACACGCAGGACGTGTGACCCCAGATAGCAGGGTGCGGGTGTGCGGCGGGCCGGGTCGGGCCAGTCTGGGTCTCGCTGGTCAGTGTCCGGGCCTCACGCAGCTGGGCCTCCGTGGGCAGTACCAGACACCCCTGGCTCTTTCACCCACCGATTCCTCCTGCCTGATCGGACCACAAGCCAGGGGAGACAGGCAGGAACTACGGGGAAGAGCATTTAAAGCCAAGGACAGGAGGCACTGCTTTACACAAAGGGTGGTGGGGGCGTGGAACAGGCTGCTCAGCTGTGTGCTTGAAGCTGGTACCCTGGATTCTTTCCAGAAACAGCTGGTTGAGATCCTCCAATCAGGGCAGGAGGCACTACTTTACACGGAGGGTGGTGGGAGCATGGAACAGATCCTGAGATCAATTGACTACTAACGACCCAACGGGCTGGACAGGCCGAGTGGCCCCTTTGCTTTATAACCAGTCCAGTCCA